TCAGAAATCTGTCAAAGTGTATATTTTTTGACAAACGCAATTTAAATGGGAAAGATCAATAACAATCACCATCACAGAACACATCATCATAATTAAAATATTCGACACAACTTATAGTAAATAAACTTCAAACTCGGGAAATTTCCTACCAAAATATAACACGTGCATAAAATATTTCCTAAGGGAAATTTTTAAAAATTTGGTCTTTAGTCAATTTTTATAAACAAAACCATTCGTGCATAGCGCCAAAGAAAAAATCCCTCACCCTTCGGGTTCGGGATTTTTTCAGGCGTTATGCACTCATGATTTTGTTAAAAAATTGGCTTCAGACAAAATTTTCAAAAATTTCCGGAAATATTTTATGCACTAGTTATATTTCTACTGGAAATATCCAGTGACCAGTCAGCTACCAGTTGGTATCTTGTTTTAACTGAGTTTGAAAATACTATACCTACTTTTTGCAATATTAGGTTTGTTCGGACATATATGAACAAATGCGCAAGCGCAGTTCAATTCAGAACTGATTCTGAACCAAGTCCGAACAAACCTATTATTAGTACTTGAATTATTGTTTTTTTTTTTTCATATCTCGTTTAAGGCCACTATGATTTCTATTTACATTTAAGAATATTAAAACAAAAAGTGTTTCGGTGTGACTTTTTGTTTCATTTATAAAGTATCTTATTTTTAGACATTGAAATTTTAACGATTATCGTTTTACGATATCGATTTTTGTAACGTATCAGTGGTATTCGTACTTTTACCAATGCGTTATGGTACATCCTAAGATTTACTGTTTGTGTCCGGTAAAAGTCCGAAATGGAAGTAAAATAACTAGTTTTCGGGCTTTTACCACTTGCTTCTGGTAAATCCTAGGTTTAGCGCGCTTATCCTAGGTTTTACCGAATTTCGGGCATTTACAGTAACATATACATTGAGTGAATTTATTTTGCATCTCCACTAGAGAGTAAAGTAATTGTTTTGCATTTGCGTATAGATTTTTTAAGTCAGTAATAGGTACATTAATCTAACTTAAACTTGACATTGAAAATTTAAAAATATTATTACTTATATTTGCAAATAAACTATGTATCATCATCATCGTCATCACCCAGACATTTCCGTTCTCTGTCGAACATAGGCCTCCTGTAGATATTTGCACTTCCCTCTGTTTTGAGCGGTTGCAATTTGTATTGAGTCTTTTCAGATCATCCCACCATCACGTGGGAGGTCTTCCTCGGTTTCGCTTGTCTGATCTCGGTCCCCACTCTAAAACTTTTTTTGTCCATCTACCATCCTTCTACTTTGTGACATGACCAGCCCATCTCCATTTAGATTTTGCGATTTCCTCTATTTCGTCTTCCACTCCAGCTCTTCTCCACTCGTCGTTTCTTTTTTTTTCTCTCAGAGTTATTCCCAGTATCTATCTTTCCATCTTGCGTTGTGTGACACGTAGCTTTCTGGCTGATGCTTTTGTGAGTGTTAAGGTTTCTGCTCCATAGGCGATAAACTGGAAAGACACACGTATTAAAAATCTTCCTCTTCAAGGATATGGGTATATCATGGTCTTTGGATATATGTCTGAGCCGACTATATGCGGCCTAGCCGAGAGTGAAACGCCATAAAAGTTCGCACGTTTGATTGTCTCTGTCAGTTCTAATCTCATATCCCACATAACAGTATTTTTCCACAAATTCTATATCTGCTCCGAGAATTTGTCTACTTTCACTTAAGACTAGGTTTGTCTGTTTTAGTCTTACCGTAATTGATGTTTAGACCCACCATCTGCATTGCCTTTTGAAGTTCTTGTAGCATTTGGATGAACCTGACACACTGAGGACCTGAGCAACAAACCGTTTTACTTGTTTTTCCACAAAACTAACTTGCATTTCAATAAGCAAAAAATCTTCTTCTTCAATGTCAATATAATCAGCTTCGAATTTACTCCAATCCGTCTAGTACTCGGTCGGGAGTTTTCAAATTCTGAAAATATAGAGAGTGCGTCTGACTCATCTTCCAATAAATTACTCTTCTCGGCAACTTCAGTCTAATCTTCGTTTTCATTGAGGGTTTCAGTGACGTCGAAGTCGTCGTTTCAGGAGCGGAATCTGAATCGGAATCTATATTGACAACGCTTTTTCCATGTTGCACCCTTAAATTTTTCTTTTTCTGTGGATTTTTCTTAGGTTCGTCATTGCTATACGTTAACTGTCTTAAAGTATCAATCAAAGAGTTTTCCATATTGTGTTGATTAGCTTCAGCATCTGTATTCTGTAGTGTCTTTCGGAATTCGATCTAAAATTTTCATCCAGTCAATCGGAATTATTCCAGACTTTTTAAATCCAGCTTTAATTATTTCGGCAGTGTTTGTTTCCATTTTGCTTAACAGTTTTTTAAGCATAGATGAAAATCTGTCTTTTGGCACTGTTCCTCTATTGCCTTTTAGTTTCCACTCCATCAATATATCGCGCCATCTTTTAAATGGCCTAAAATAGGCAACATCTAGAGGCTGTGCTATGTGAGTTGAATTTTTGGGTAAAAAAATAAACCGGATATCATTTACATTCAGCAATGACATGAGCGGAAAGGTGCGACGATAAATTGTCTCCAATTAAGGCTCGTGGTGGGTCTTGTCTCTTCAGATAGGGTAAAGCTATCGCAGAAAACCATTAATCAAAAATAAAAATTCCTTTTGGTCCTCCATTTGTCCATGTGTCCCATAAATGAGTTGAACGATATATCACAAATGGTGGTAGAAGAGTACAAGAGTACCATCTCCTCCTATTGACGTAGACGCTTTAGAAGAATTTAAAACAAATTCTGGATGCTTGCGTCCCCTTTTAACGACAACGCGCTTTCTTCCAGGGTCATCAGCCAAGTTGGTGTCATCGTAGTTAATTATTGACCCTGGTTTTACATTTAACAATGATATCTCCAAACTTTCGAAATATTCATTCACAATTTGTGGCAAAACTGCGGCGCGACAGCGTTTGATGTTTTCGGTCATTCTGACTGTTAATCTTTGGCCATCTCGGCTTAAGTAACCTTGCATCCAGTCTTCTGGAAGATTTTCCTTAAATACTCGTACCTTTCGTCATTGTCTGTCTAGGTAAGTTTTTACTATTTGTCTGACTTCATAAGATGTCATAGGGAAGCCCCACTTACTTGCATTGAGAAAGGTTTCCTCCTCTACAGAGAGCGCTATTTGTCCCCCATACTTCTTTTGATTTTTTCCTTTCAAACAGCGATGGATTTTCATTTTGTCAACACTGTGCTTTTCACTGGCTCCCCGTAAACTTAATTTCCCGCTTCTACCATCTTCCAACGCCTTATTCATATTTTCTACCGAACATGATGCACATCTGCGTGTCCCAAGGCACTTTTTGTATTTTCTTCCCATTTTACAAGCGTTTCAAATCACCCCATCCTGGAACAAAATATGCTATTTTATCTGCAAAATTATTAATTTTTATTTTTTACTTTGAAACTTCGTAATTTAGCGCCAAAAAGAGTAGGGATCACTCACATATAGTCGCTAGCGACAATCAAGGACAAATGAACTGTTAACGAAGATGACTCTATTTTGGACATATTAAGAAAGTAATGCGTCAAATCGTATCAAAACACCCCGGCGTATTAAGTCACCTCAATTGACGGTACCTAGTATGTAGTCTTGTCGATATTGCCTGTAGTGATACTATTTTGTTAGAAAGTTTTTTATGTATAAGGAATCATACATATCCAATTGACTTCCTTTCGTGGCCCATGTGGTAAAATTTATGACCCGAATTTAGCGTCTCCAAACTTTCGCCATGCCTTCTAACTTGACCAATCCAGATCACATCCCATTTTAGTTTTCTAACTCTATTTCCATCTCTTTGAGTTTTTCTTCTGACAGTAGTTATCTGGCGTTGTAAGTTGCGATTCTTAGAGGTTTTTGATTCTTCTGTTTCGGTTTTCTTGTCCCCTCCTCTATATTTCGTGAGACAGGCCGCTATTGCAGTGTGGGATTCCGAAAGTTTCGTTCGACCCACCAGGGTCCTTATTCTTGAAACAGGAAAGCAGCGTTTCCAGAAGAACGAGTTTTCCGTCTTTCTCAATAATATACAAATGATAATATGAGTAACAAAGATGGAACACTCGTTCTCCTGGGAACGCTGCTCCCCTGTTCTGAGAATCAGGACCCTGGGGATTTGTTTCGGAGATCGTTTCTTTCATCTTGAGGGTGTTTACCCATAAACTCGCCACGCTAGCCATATGCGGGTTGGCGCGTGAATAAGAAGATCGGGAAGGTAGTAGAGGTGTAGAGGTAGCATTAGGGGTGGGACATGGTTTCCCGCTAGAAAAACTAGGGAGGTGGAAGGAGACCAAGACTGACGTGGGCAGGGTCGTTTACCTGAACCTATCTTCTACCGGGATCGCAGATGAGTGTCTACCCGCTACCTACTGGAAACTATGTATACTTTGGCATACCTAAAAGCCAAAAGTGTATTTTCTTTTTCAATTTCTATAAATTTGTGAATATCAAAATTTTCAAAACTCAAAATGACCGCCACCAGATGGTTGGACTCAGTTAAATAGGGTGCAGGCGTATTAAAAAGGGGCTCCGTTTTTCTCAGGAATTCTAGAGTAAACGGAAGAAAGTTTTTTATGACACTTGTGAGGAAGAAATTATGTCTAAATATTTATTAACCATATGACAAAATATTGAGAGACCTTTCGCGCTACGCTATTTGTGTCAAGCCTAAATTCCCGTATTTTCGAGATATAGGTACAGGTGAAATTAATTATTTCTTCTTAATTTTAATACGTCTGAGGCCTAATTCTCTGAGTTTGGTTAGCTGATCAGTCAATTTTGAGTTTTCGATTAGAAATTTGAAGGAAATTGTTTCATTTCGCGATCAGTGGAAATTATTCCTGTGCCTATAAATATCACTCAATTTTTCGTATGAAACAACTTTAATGTAAAGCTGTGGTATTTATTTGTAATATTTGTATAGGAACCGGCAAGCGATCGTATTTGATGTTGATAGTAGCAGCTCGGAAGAGGACGGGTTCAAAAAGAATAAACAATTGTCCAACAGTTGCCCTCAAAGCGAACCAATGCCCAGGAAAAAATACAGTGGTAAGTACCTACATATTTTATTGTACTGTGCAAATACATATGTATTAAAAATATAAGATTCCATGCATCTGTACTTTTAGGCAAATCTGTAGCATTTAATCTAGGCGAAGATCCGCCTGAAAATAGAGTAGGAAGTTCAGAAAACTTAAGACAGCAATTTTTATTGAACACTATGCACAGTTTAAAAAGAAATTTGGAAGATCATTCGGCTTCTTTGCAGTATACTTACAGCAGTAGTTCGCAGAATATGTACCTATAAGTAACTAAAAAAATTATTAAAGTTGGCATTTGCATATTAACACAGCCCGTCCCTATCGATATTTGATATTAAGAGATTTATTGATTTATATTATTTACTCTCATTATCGAATTTAATAAAATATGCTTCCCGGCTTTTGCGCATAATTCCCACGTCAATATTAATATTGTTTTTATATTGAACTTTTTATAAATAAAAGTAAGTATACTAATTTTGCCTAATAAAAACTGACAATTAGCACAATAATGTGAAACATATATTTTTGCAAAAAAAAAATTGTTTAGAATGAAATAAAGGACCCTTTTATAAGAAGCAGGGGTAAAAGATATTATACCTATAGTATTTTTATTGCGTTAAGATAAACTGAAAGCACAAGTAATTAATTTTCAGTAGGAATGTATTTTTTGATTTTAAGTAATCGGATGTATAAGACATTTTTGTTGTAATAACAGACAGTATTTAGTTTTAGAAAACTAACTCGGACTTAGTACATATATTTATCATCTAAAAACCTTATATTATTTGTAGATAGCAACCATAGAGAAAGATACATGATAAACCAAGGTGTGAGTTACCGATTCATATGCGCCTAGTGGCAACGTATTTCTTGTAGCACATGGTGTCATGGTGTTGCTAGCATAGCTTGGAACTAACTGACAATTTTGACATCGCCTCCCATTCTTATACTTATCTCTTTTTAACAGATGCAGAAAAAGAGGACAGAGGGTTTTTTTATTTATTGTACGTTGTGATTTCTAATCTAAGAAATTAGGAAAACAAAGAAGAAACAAGATTTTTTTCTTTTTGATGTTCAAAACTGACACAAATAAGTGAACCTAATTAAAAATTTATTGAAATTTCTTGTGATTTACTTATTTGATTTAATAAAAAAATTAATAAGTTTATTGAAAATACATTATTCTGATAAGATTCACAAGTTCATCCATAGATAATGATAAATTTAAATACCAACCTTTTATCAGTGAAGATGAGATGTTTTGGCTGATTTTGCTTTTTTTTGTTGTTATTATTCAATTTAATATCCAGCGTTTTTCCGCAATTTTTTTTCTGTCGACCGCGGAAATACGTTGGGTTCAAAAAGTCTGCCAAATGTGATTTAAGTTGGTCTTGTAGCGGGTAGTGGCGTTAGTATCGATCTGACGTCATCGCGTTGCCAGTGTTGCACCACAGAATCGAAAACTCTCACCTTGGTTTATTTTATTTCTCTATGTACAGTACCTAACCAATCCCCATAGAAATTTTGTAGCCAGTATAGAAACATAGAGTGATAGTTGTCCAAAAAATAATATGCCAAAATAACTTAATAGTTTTATATCGTTAGTAGTCAATAGAATGTTAGATTGTGTATTTAATAGTTAACATTTTCGTACATTTACACTAAAACCTGTTTGTTACTGAATGTATTTGTTCTCTTGTTACCTACTTTTTAAAATTAATACGGTATATTGTCGGCCTTTGTCATTTATATCATTAAAAAATAAGTACTATTCTTAGTAAAAAGTTAAACAAAAGGCACATAAGTACAGCAAAGGAACGCGTTTGCTCGCCTTCGCTAGAATTCGCAGTAGGCGGTATGGAATTCGTTTGCTGTATGTGTACATACAAGCCTTGAAGTAGTGAAATTTTTTTGAAATTGTGGGATTGTGCAATATGATGGTCCGTTCACATACAGCAAACAAAGTCAAACCAACTTCTACAAACGAATTGTGGGGTTATTGATAATCATGATTAATTATGAAAGAATACAAACAAATGCATACAAAGGCGCAACAAGATCGTTTTCTTTCGCCAAAAGGAAATTATGAATGCTTGTGAAAGCCTGATCACAGCCAAAAAAAAGTTAGATAGAATGAAATTATCGAGCTCATGACAAGAGTTCCTGCCTCGGTTCCTGCTATTACTTACGTCATTGTTTATCCAAAAAATCAACGACTTTCCTTCGCATTTGTTGGTGAATGCAGCGAAGCAAACTCTTTCGTACCGCTACGCCGAACAAGCGACTTCCTCTACTGAATGTGTACATACCTAAACTAAGGGCCGGTTTATTCATCTTCTGATAAACTGTCAGGTAATGTAATCTGCTGGATAAAAACGCAGTCTGTAATCCCATTGGTCGGCCAGTTATCCGCCAACCAATATGATTACGAATCGGTAAATTTATCTTGCCAGTAGTTACCAGCAAGTTTATCTGAAGATGGATAAAATGGGCCTGATTCGTCATTGATTTTTTCCAATAATATACTTAAGCGTACCTTCATAAGGCGTCTATTTGAAAACTTTTCATCTCTATTGTCTTTATGTTCGAAGATAATTTTTACTTGAAAATTGACTCCCTTTCGAATTTCCTGCAGTTCAAAGCCACCTCAGCGAAAATCTTATACCCCGATACAAATATTTTAAGGAACGTTTTATTCCCTATTTTTATATGGTTGTGCCTTTTTCAGTATTTTTTTCAGGGAGGTAGGTGTTACTCAAAAATAAAATTCAAACCAAATTTTGGATTTGCAACCATTTTGTAGTTATTTTATCATGATTAAAGTTATAATATTTAAACAATAAACAATTGAACAACGTTTCTTGTTTTGGAGGCTTGCAAATGGATAGTAACATTTCATAAGATTCCAAGCATTTGCATCCTTGTTTGAAACTTTCGCATTTTCCCAACCTTCTCTTGCTCGCTCTCTTGTTGGAAAAAAAAATATATTAATTTATTGAGACATCATCATGCTCATGATATATAGACCGGACCAACCTACTAGACACATAAGACGAATTAGCTTGTATCCGGTTTAGGCGAGTCGAGGCGGTGCTGCCAAAGCCGTGTATAGCCGAGCTGCCGAAGATGCACGAATTTTAATAACAAGCAGGGACGATCAATGATCCACCGTGACGATCCTGCAGTCAACTGCTCCTATTGAAGCCTATGTGTCTAGTCCTGCCTGAATATTATAAATGGGCTTCTGTTCTGAACATTTGTTGTCCTAGAGTTATTGTTAGATAATAGGTCAATTGGAAGTTCATTTTCAACATAGTTGCGTACTTAGAATTGAATTCCAAATTCATAAACATCTTTCAAGCATTCTCAGTCTTGTGTCAAAATTTGACAACTTCATATTTTCACCTAACTTTGGTTGACTGGTTTATTAGGTACTGTCTGTTCAAGATATGATCAAGAGGCTGAAGAATCTGAAGAATCCACATAATTGTCACGGGCAGGGTCTGTTCTTTATAATTCTACGGCTTCTACAACTTAAACAAAAAAATTTAAAAAAAAATAAAAGTTAAATACAAAAGTTGTAGGGTTTTATCTCTATTATCTTTCGTACACGTCAAAAGGGCAAATACGGGTGCCAACTGACCTAAGAAACCACTACGGTTCTATGGCTACCAAAAATCCACAAAATTGATGCGCTGATAGTAAGTGAACCCGAGCTACGTACAGTTTGTAGTGCTGCTTCAAACTCATGTAGTTTCAGCATCCCTAACCACCAAAGTCTGGCTGATGGAATCACTGCATTTTCCAACCAAAATATTTTCAAATGATATTGTCAAGCCTTTACGGGCTTGCCTGACAGGCAGTATTCTTCTATGAAATGGTGAGTTTTACGAACAAACAATAAACAGAGGGCGTGGCTATGGAAACCTCACTTAGCTCTGTAACGGGGTCAGCTGAACCACACATGGTACATTTGGAATCGGAAGAAAAAAATTATATTTTTCTAGCCAAAAATATACAGGTTGTTCCATTTAAATAAAAGCATATGTTTGTCATTATGACAATTGGCACCTGTCATTGGCCCGTTTGACATGTGCAAAAGATAATAGAGATAACCCTACAACTTTTACATTTGAATTTATTTTTTCATATTTTTCTGTTTAAGTTGTAGAAGCCGCCCTTATTATAAGAAACAGACCCTGTACATGCACGAAAAAAACACCCGTTCAAAAATTGTTAATACAAGTGTTTATTTGACATGATTTAATTTATTTGAGTTAATTTTCCTCAAACAATCAATATCTACCTATATGCTTATAGTTTTTTTTTCATTTGAAATAGATCTTAATAATTTTGATCCAAATGTCTCTTATTATTTACCAAATACATATTTCAACTATCTTCAAGGAAATCTGTACCTACTTTAATATTATCCATTACTGTTGTTGCCGAAGTATTATCTATTTTCCCCACTTGTGCCGCATCGAGGGCTATTCTGGCCGGAGAGTATGCATTATTCGTTGGATGACATTGGATTGAGTAGAAGCGTAAAAGTAAACCTTTTCGCTCCTCGCGGAGAGTGAGGTTTTTTCGAAAATTTCCAATAAACGAGATAGTAGGGGTGACAGCTATCAAATTGACACATTTTATTTTATATATGTCAGGGTGATTTTGGATCTCTGCAATAAATTTGAATGTTTTACTAACAAGATGTTGTTCGTTGTTTCTGTTTTGCATTATACAATAAGGCATACCTGCACTTTTATGTTTTATGTGACCTTCAACCAAAAATACCCAGCTACCTAAATATTTTTTTGGAAATTTCACATTGGTAATAACATTCGATCCATCCTATGTTGGTAAATTTGTTCAATTAGGATGTATTGTAGTATACGTACTTGTGTCTCGTGTCCATTTTAAAAGAAAATATTTGAAATAAGTAACAATGAATATGATTTTATTTACAGAGCAAATGCCAATAAGTACCTAGACCTAGACAAAAATTGATGCAAGCAGTAGGTAATCCTAAGGTACCTGTTTAAAAGTCCTTATTTTGTAAAGAATGAAATTGATGAGAAAAGCTTGAAACAAAATTTGCTTGGTATTCAGGTTGAATTTTTCCGAGGTTAATGTGCCAAACAGCTCTTGAAATGCTAACTGAAATGCCATTATTTTTTTTTTTTCAATTTTTATCATTTATTTACTCTTTGTACTCTAATTTTAGACAAGTTAGTGCAACAAGTAGATATATATTTATATTCTATCATTTTCAACTTATTTTATTTTGTATTTATTGAAATATGAAATTTTAAGTAAGTATCTAGTAGGTGGGTGAACCTAGATTATACATCATTAATGTCTTTAATGATAATGATAACTGATGGTTACGAAACCAGTACTTAATCCTAGTGATAATTCAATAATGATTAAATGGTAGCTGCTATTTTAATAGTCCAAATATAAGGCTAACTTTTCGATGTATCATTCTCATGGCCCAATTAGTATTGTTTTTCTCATAATATCTCTTGTGCGATGTATTTTTCCAACTTTCTATCCTTCTCGTTTAAGCGTACTTACTGCTTGCCCCTGATATTTGACTTTCAACCGATAAAAGTCTAACAACTCAACTTTTTTAATCAGTTACATTCTAAGATAATGAGGATCGTTTTAAACAAACCACCTAGTATAGTTGGTCATTTGTTTTTAACTTCTCTCGAATAATTTAGGGAAGTGATTTGTCTATTTTGACATGCTTTCAAATGGAAATTATTTTTCCTGTTCATTGAAATATTTTTTTTTAACATGGACACTGTATTGTCAAAATTTTTGTATAAATTGGCTGACTAATGACTGATGATGTCGTCATTGGAATTAAAATTTCTCAAATCAACATATCGGATAGTTTGTAAAATTATTGTTACTTCGTTTTAATTTCCTTGTTATTAAATTGTTGAAAAAAGTATCAAGATGTGCGACATCGTGTAGAAAAATTAAATGACATTTTTCTGAAATTTATATTCATTTAGGTTTTTATAAGCTACTAAATATATTTTGTCATAATTTGGTTGATAATATTATTTAGCAGGTACCTACTTATGTTCAATAGGTATACCTCTATCTAATATAATGTTTTTTAAATTACTTTGATTAATTAACATTGCATTAGAATGTGCACCTGTTTATGTGTTTAACACCTGAATTTATTTTTCAATGTATTAATAAAGTATGTAAATATATACAAACAGTGTTTGATTTATATAGCTAAGCAACTGTAGCTCTAGATTTTAGAGTGAACTCTCAGTTATTATGAGCGGAGAAGCACCCAATTGATTATTTTGGTCGAGATAATTAGAATTTGTTCGGAAAATTTTATTTAAATTAAGTCACATATACCTAAAATGAATTTGAAATCATATTTGTGTCTTTTGTTTCAATTATAATATGTAATATTATTCTCAAATTATCGGTTTAGATTTACTAAGTGCAATTGAAAAAGGGTTACAAAGTAATTTCATCAACCCTTCTGTTAACGAAAAAGATAGTCCTGGAAACACTATAATAAATTTCATCCAATGTACCTATGTAAGGTGTGCATGCACTTCACTGGAAATTTCTATGTATTTTGGAGAAAAAAAAACAAAAAAAAAATAAAAGGGTAGGTAATTTAAATAATCTATAATATCTCCTAATATTTTCCGCTTTCTTGGATACCAGAATTTCATGTATTTATACATATAGGTTTTTTCCTGAATCACCATATAGGACTTAAAAAAAAACACACTTGCGCCAAAACATTTTATTGTTGGTCAGAATATTACACATTTACTTATGGAATGTTTTATAAGCCGATTTCTGGATTATGAAAATCATTGCAGGATTTTTTCTCATCCAAGGTGGAAGACGATATATTCTGTCCGTGGTGGTTTTCAATAAGGCCAATCATGGATTGGAAAAATTCCAAAGTGCACGACAAAGTACCCTCTCCAATTTTCTTAAATGATTTACCTGTAAATTTTTTTTTAAATCGTGTTATTTTGAGAGAAGTATCTTTTCAAACACAGAACAGAGGATTGCATTTTCTTATAAAAAATTAGAAATTTATAAATTATTTTATTGGAATGAATAGGTATTCTCAGAATAAGTAGATGCAGTTTGCGGATGAGAAAAGTATGGTCTGGGTAGTTCCGATTCAACCATCAGATGGACTAGGCAGCCACCTAGGGCCCAGAAACCCAATGGGGCCTGAAATTGAAAGTCAAAACCTAGGTGAAGTATGAACGTTATAAATGAACCAGCGCGACGTCATCAGCAACGCTTCGAGCGATAACTTAACATTTCATTTCTGATCCAACACAACTCCAGAGCTCCCCGATACTTCGTTTATTAAGGGTTATCCCCCCCCCAATGAATATGTCAAACTTTCAAACTTTAAAACAAATATTCAGGAGAATCTTGCACCGAGTTCTCAGTCTGCCCCAGGGATTTTGGGAAAGATCAAAACATACACATATACAGACGAAACGGGAAATGACGAAAAAGTGGAACAGATAAACAAAACTCTTTACGCCGCGCCGTAGCATAGAATATTCGAACAATGGGGCTCGATGAATATTTTATTGGCTGAGAGTACGAACTGCATAACATTACATGGGACTCACTCAAGATCAGTGAGACGAGAAAATAGAACACAAAGACGCAGTCCAAACTCTGCTAAGCAATTGCCTTGAAGAAGGAAAAAAGCTGAATAACATTGTAAAAGGACAACCAGGAGGATGAAAAACATTACGACACGACGAGAATTCCAGATCTGCATAGGATACATACAATACATAAACAATGCACTGCAAGCAAGATAAAACGTTTCAAATAAAACTTTTTAAAAATATTTTTTAAAAAATGGGCTTGACCCGTCGATAAATAAATAAATAAATAAATAAAAAAGTTTTATATTGTTCGTGACTGTTCATGCTATGCAGATCTGTAGTTTCGTCGTGTAATGTTTTTCATCCTCGTCGTCGTTGTCCTTTTACAATTTTAGCTTCTTTGTCGGAAACTGATAAGTAGTACTGATGACGGCGAAAGCCAAAATCGCTCTACTCAATAAACTGAATTGTGCATAGAATACCAATTGTTTCCTTCCTACTATTCAACACAGATACACATCGTATCAGTGACCCGCTGAACTATAACGATAATGTAACACGAACGTAGCAGAGCTTCTGAAGAGGTAGACCTCGAAACAATCCGCCAAAAGACCAAAATGTTGAGTACGGATATTATGATCATCACTGTAGGTAGTCTAGGTCATAACATACAGCTAGTAAAGGATGATCAGACACTAGAGATAGCCAGATGAATTGGCCTCACATAGATTGCGTTCTGGAAACTCATAGAAAAAAAGTCGCTTGGGCTGAAACTCTGTAACGGATAGATATCGTTATCTCTATCGCTACGGCACTTGCTATCCTCTTCTCTCTTTTCAAAATCAATAGAGAGGGGACGCCGGTAGAGATAGAGAAAATATCTCCAATCATTACAGAGTCCCAGCCCTGCATTCTATCAGTAACGACATATGGTCTCGAAACAGTAATACTCACAAAAGGCAGTGATAGTCACTTTCGATGAGTCTCCCCGATGGCAATGGAGCGAGTCTGAGAGACCAAATCGGGATGATTAGAAGAACAGGTGTCTGTGATGTGATGGAATGAGCGGAAAGACTGAAATGACGTTGGGCGGGGCTGTGAGAAACCACTCTAAATAAACTATCTAATGCAGGGGAGACCAAGAAAGAGAAAGAAGAACACCCTGTATACATATATATGTACAGGGTTGTCGTTATGTATGAAAACGGCCTAATATTTCAGCACGCCCTCAAAAAAAAAAGGACAATATTAGCTACCTGGGAGTTTTTGGGAATGCCCGATTCAATATTGGTATCTGCAATGTTGCCAAGTTTACCGTTCCTAAAATGCCGTATGTATCTTTTTTTTTTAATGAAAGTCCCTCAAAATTTTTATTGTGATTAATTCAGCGTCCCAACAAATAAAAAAACTCCTAAATGCCAAACGTCCATTTTTAAATATGGCAACACAGATTTTTTGTTTGTTTAGGAAATATTGTACATTTTTCCTGTTCTGGAATACGAGGCCCATATTCAAATGGACGTTTGGGATTTAGGGGTTTGAGTAATGTTGGGACGCTGAATTAATTACAATAAAAATAAAGAGGGACTTTCATTTAAAAAAATTAAGTTACATACGGCATCTTAGAAACGGTAAACTTGATAACATTGCAAATACCACCATTGAATCGGACATTCCCAAAAACTCCCAGGTAGGTAATATTGTACATTTATTTTGAAGGCGTTCTGAAATGTTAGGCCGTTTCCATATATAACGACAACCCTGTATAAATTAGGACATTCGTTTTCGTTTTGATTTTTTTTTCTGAACGCAATCATTTTCGTCTCGAGACGATTAACCTATAATTACCTGATGGGACAGTCGTGGAATTTAAATTAATTGTGTGCTTTGACAGACTACCAATAATTCTCTTCAATACATCTTGTACAGCGGTTGGATTAATTGGTCGCAGTTTAGAAATAAATAATAGAATATATTCTATTAAATAGCATTCTTCCTAAAATACAATACAAGTTAAATTTTTTTTTTTATAACAATTCAACTTCTTACCAATCCAATTTTGTGAAAACATTCTTCAGGTTGTTTATACATGACAACAATGTTTTCAAAATGTTCAAGCTGTAGTATAGGCGTTTTAAGTCCTTCAAACCACTCAAACAGCAAACTAGCTAATATATTCAAGTTTGTCTCTACTGAGAGTCTCATCCAACCCAATTTTGTAGAGTTAATTTCATTTTCATATTGACGTATTTTTCTTTTTGTATCATAGCTGAAGCTATCAAAATCCTGTAACAATGCATTGACAACTTCATCAACACTTTGAACCACTAATACTTCCTCAACTGAATCTTGGCAAAATTTTTTTTGGGTCTCCAACTCTTGGAAACATTTATTTTCCAATAGAAAGTCTTCACCCAATGCTTCGCCATCTAGATTACTGATTTCAGAGAAAGTATCACTCAAGTCACCGTCTTCTGATGTTGTTGAACTGAATGGTGTTGGCAATTCAATCGTCGGACTCGAGAAATAAGATGCTAAAAAGAATGGGCAAAATTAAAACATAAATTTTTCATATTTTATTCTTAAAACAAACTCGATGCTTTAAACCTTTATGATAATGCGTGATTAATTTGAACGCTACTGAAGTGGACGCCATTTTCTAACTTTTTTTTATTTAAAAGTAAATACTAGATAAATCTTCCGGTATTTAGGTAGATAAATACTTGTAACTTTTCCTCTCAAACCCTCAAATGTTCTCCATTAAAAGGAACTATTGTGATTTGACTATCGATGCAAAGCCATTTGACGAAAAGATTTTCAAGGGATTTGTGATGTTTTTCAGAAAAAGGCCGCTACTAGAAACATCTTAAGGCAGCACCAAACTGAAGATGGAAGTGATGATTACTGAAAAAGTAGATGAGTATATATATCAGGTGTGGATGTCCAGAAACCTTCGATTTCCTACATCGAGACTTCAAAAATAAGATGGTGAGAGTGGTCAACGAAGAAATATTGTTCTTCAAATAAGAAATGCCAAGTTGAAATCATACTCGTCGAAGCTAGGTTCACGAATTTCTTGAAATAGCGTAGCGAGACAGTTGTGAATAAAGTTTTTCCTCTTAGGGTAGCCAATCGAACGAAACGGGTGGCATTTGAGAAAATGTTCATCGGAAGATGAAAACTAGCTATCCGATTAGTTAGATGCGCCAAGGAGGAGGCTGTGTCAAATGGAGCACAATTATCTGGTAGAACCTCGCAAGAAACAAAAGAATTATCACACATATTCGCCAAGGTTCTGCTTCAAAAAATGCTTAAGCATGAAGTAATAGGAGAATCTAAGAGCCCACGGTCTTTGCGGGTCCTACTAGTTACGAGAAAGGATGACTCCACGAGGTTCTGCATAAATTAAAGAATGTTGAACGTTACCCACTACCCCGCATTACCGATACCCTCATCACCCTATCGGTATCCAACGGTTTTGAACTCTAGATTTCAATGAAGAAGATAAAGAAAAGACCGTCTCTGCTGCTGGAAACGGTCTATATCAATTTAACGTCGTGCCGTTAGGATTTTCTACAACTGCCACTTGTCTTGGTTATTGGGATGGTGTATTGATGATTGGCAGAGATCACATCAAATCAGATGCCTCCTAGGACTCTGCAGCTAATATTGCCATTGTGCTAAGGATTGTGGGAAGATTGCGAAGCCGTTACATCGACTAACTGAGAAAAAAACCCACTTCTAATCAAATTCTGGTATCTCCAGAATGTCAACGGTCTTTCGTGGATCCAGTTTAAGAATATTGCATTGATGAAACACTGTTCGTGTTGCAGACTGAAATAGGAATAAATAGCATATTCTAATAAGTCCCTTCTAAACGCACAAAGAAATTATTGTCACCACCACAGTTTTCTCCATGGACGGAAGTTTCTAGTTAGAACCGACCATCCACCCTTCCACTGGCCGCTTAATTTGAAATAGGCGGGTTGATTGGGGGAATTTGAAAGTTACGAATTCCAAATCAAACATCGCAAAGGAGGACGTCATGCAAACGCTGATAGCCTATCATGATAACCATGGGCTGACAGCTCTTAGGTGAGAAGAAGAGGAGGCCGTCAAAAATTCTGTGTGTTCAGCAGATGAGGGTCAAGTATACCGAAACTCAGACAAATGCTGACGAACACATTACCAGGGAAGACTTCGAAAGAGAACAAAACGTTTTCAAGAAATTGGGAATGATACGTGGCTGGCTAGAAAATGATGAACGACCTAAATGGCAGTCTTCCTCAAACGGTATGGGGGTACTTCATAATGGGAATGGAGAGTCGTTGTGCCTACCGAGATGACTTACTATGATAAATCAGATAGGAGAAGCCTAGTACGTCTGACCGTTGTGCCATTGACCATGGTGCACCGAGAGCTAAGACAACGACAGAGTAGTCGGAGTGATGGCCACTTTGGAGACAATAGGACGGTGGCTCGAAAAAGAGGTGGTTATTATTGGATCAACTGTTGTAGAGTTGTCGAGGAATGAACGGAATGGTACAAGAGATGCGCCCTATGTGCTTCCAAGAAAGGAGGAATTCGAGGAGGAATAAAGCAATTCTTCTCTGGTTCCTCCTGAGAGAGAATTGCAGTAGATATCGCTGGTCTCTTTCTTTCAATACACGGGAAATGAGTACGTCATGGTTGCTATGGCAATTTTTGGGAATGGCTGGGAGTAGTTCCAATCCCCACAGTGGTTCAAGCCAGGAACCGACTACAAGATAAAACTCGGCAGTCATTGAACACCCTCAATGAAGACGACGCCATCTGGTTGTGTCAGCGACAGCGGAGAATTTAGGGCCCAAGCCCAAAATTACAAATACCGTGAGAAAAAACTTACAAGATTGCTAAGAACAACGACTTGGTGTTTGGTGTACAGGATTCAACTTTCGCCGAAAGCCAACCCAAAAACGTAGAGAGGCTAGCCCTATACCTACAGAGGCAAGAATACCGACTTGAATGCTACCAGGAAAAGCTGATCGGGGTCAATCGAGGGGTGAATAGATCTAAAGAGAGAGGCATTGTTATAAAAAAACACCTTAGCATTTAAAACTGTACCTATTTCGTACGTAGATAGACTCCTATATGCCGCTGACTAAAATATTGGACGAGTTCGACCTTGAAGGAATCTAGCCGGTGAACTATTATAAATAGATCGGCGTTACCGGAGATTTCTCGTAGAAAATTATCGAGAAAATTCAACGTTGAACAAGCTTAAAGGTTTTTGAATTGAATGTTAACCAAATGTAAGTTTCGAATTGGACAGTAAAGCGATCAGCAGGTATAGTGATTTTTTGTATTATTTTCTCGAATGAAGTTAATTCAAGTTTGTAAAAGCAGTCTCACTTATCTAATGAATCCGCTTATACGTATAACATTATTCATGAATATCGCATCCCAATTACGAAAGTAGCTAGAAAAGCTCATTCAACCACGAAATTATAATCAAGCACCTCTACCCTGTCTTTCAATGCTAGGGTTGCCCCTCAACCTGTAGGTTGCCCAGATAAAAACGAAAACAAATTTTAATTATTGGAGTTCATGCAAACTCAAATGGACTGCAGAGGTTTGCCAGCGAAACCTTCTTTAATTCTTATATTATCAGAAGGGTCGAACAATAAACTCTCCTACTGATGTGACAGATTTTTGTTTTTGGTTTGGAGTTTAGAAAAAGAAAAAGAAATGCAATTTTATATTAAGCTTCTGGCTCCTAATTTGAACAGTGGAAAATAATTAGAAAAAACATCACATCAGAAGGGTACAATATAGTATTATCTTTCAAACTGGAAGTTGACAGTAATGAGAGTTTTCCTATAATTGCCTCAGGAACGCCAAGTTTAGGCACATTTTAGCCAAGTGAAAGCACTCCTAAACTTTAGAGGATTTGAACTTTTTATTCCTTAGTGCTTCCAGACAGTGTGACATCAATAGCAAGTTGGGTAAAACCGATTTATGGGTTCTCCTTAGCTACCCTACCAAGCATATTTGAAAATATTCGTTAACTGCATACTTCTTTTTGGTCTGATGTAGGCACTGGCATTACAACACTTTCATGCAATAGCTATGCATTTTCATATTGCTCTGCATAGAGGCGGCGCGTGCCTCCAAAAAGTGGGGGGGGGGGGCTAAAAAAGCCCGCTGTAGGCGAAAAATTGTTTCGGGTGCCACGCCCAAAGACTGTTATTTTGAGCATTCAAAATAATTTTTTTTTGTACTACCGACATTTTATTTGACATATAGAAAATTTTTGGATTACTTACTTTTTTCCCTCAATCGCGAATTATTTGTAAAACAGATAAACAAATTGGAAACATTGTACTCTTTATCAAGTACTTGAAGAGGAGAATAAAAAATTAAACTAAATAATAGAATCAAACATCCTTTTTAAGGAACAATGAACAAGAAATACGTCATTTTTATTAAGAAGCACAAGTCGACTCTGCCGGCGACTCTGACTGTAGCTGGAACTTAGGAATTTTTGTTAATTTCTATTTTTTTTTTAATTTATGAGATTTTTTTTTTATGTATTAGAAAAAAAGTGGGGGGCTCGAGCCCCCCGTGCCCCCCCGACGCGCCGCCACCGGGCCTCTGCATAATTATACAGATGCAAAATTATCAGCAGTTTCTCGATATGAAAAATCCTACCCATTGGGAAGATGGAAACTGTGCTTCACCTATAAATGTTGTCGACGGACACTATTCCAACTAAATATCACCGAGTTTTAAACTTCAAAATTGTGTCATTTGCACTTACGATCGATATTAAAAATACATTTTTCCATACAATTGAATGCAATTTTGAGATATTTTTTGAAAATATGTTCACGAAGTTTTTGCTTTCAACGTTTAATGAAAAATTCCTAATAAAGGGGTTAGAAATTTCACCTGTACTTTTCGAACCGAGTGTTGTTGCTGGTTTACCTCAACATAATTAGAAGTTAACATTTTTTGGGGGATCGGTCCATTTTCATGTGCTAAATAACATATCAAGTTTGCGACCTTGTACTTCCATAAAGTTTTTAGTTAGGGGTGTTATTTAGGGGTAATTTGCGGTTTATGGAGAACGCTGCTTAAAGGGATGGTTCAATCACAAAAAGTTCCAAACGATTGTTGTAGCTGAAGTTTTTTGCTAGAAAAAATTCCGCGACAGCACCCCTTTATCTTCGATAGTTTTTTTTCTGCAGCCAGCGGCTTGAATAGTAGCATAATTTTGTTCAAGGCCACTGAATCATCGTTTCGCCTGTTTGCGCGCATTTGGTGCAGCAGCGGCCGAATGCAGAATCCGATTTCAATTGTTCAAACACCACATTATTGCTGATGAAATGCACTCTCCAATGCTTTTTTGTTCGAATTTTTGGCTTGAAAATTAAGCGAGCACGAACTCGCCTAATGTGCTAGAAACCTGTAAATTGTATCAAAAACTACCCCTTTCTTGCATTCACTGTAATTTCCAAACGGGGCCAAATATTTGGTGACAGTTTTCGAGAATCGGCAGCCCATTTATTCCTCTCAACGCCCCAGCAGAATTTTTTTTTCGTTAATTACGCAATGACTTATTCGCCTGAACTCGTCGAGCGGAATTTTTCAAAAGGTCAAAAAAACAATTAAAACTATCGCACAGCGCTGAAATTTGGTACGATGGCTCAATTTATTGTTCTCGCCAATAGCTAAGCCAGCAGTTATGTGAAGCAATTAAAAATGCAGTTTATTCATGCGAACAATAATTTATAATGCCATCGTACCAAATTTCAGCGCCGTGCGACAATTTTAATTTTTTTTGACTTTTTGAAAAATTCCGCGCGACGTCATTGCGAATAAGTCATTGGGTAATTAATGAGAAATAAATTCCGCTGGGGCATTATGACAGGAATAAGTTGGCTGCCGATTGTCAGAAACTGTCACCAAATATTTGGCCCCGTTTAGAAATTACAGTAAATGCAAGAAAGGGGTAGTTTTCGATGCAATTTACAGCTTTCTAGCACATTAGGCGAGTCCGTGCTCGCTTAATTTTCAGGCCAAAAATTCGATCAAAAAAGCATTGGAGAGTGCATTTCATTGGCAATAATGTGGTGCTTGAACAATTAACATCGGATTATGCATTTGGCCGCTGCTGCACCAAATACGCAAAAGCAGGCGAAACGATGATTCAGTTACCTTGAACAAAAACATGCTACTATTCAAGCAGCTGCAGAAAAAAATCTTTCGAAGATAAAGGGGTGCTGTAGCGGAGTTTTTTATAGCAAAAAACAAAAGCTACAACAATCATTTGAAACTTTTTGCGATTGGATCATCCCTTTGAGCATCGTTCTCCATAAACAGCAAATTACCCCTTAAAAACACCCCTAAGTATAAACCCTATGGAAGTACAAGGTTGCAAACTTAATATGTTATTTAGTGATGGAAATGGACCGATCCCCCCAAAAAAAATGTTAACTTCTAATTATGTTGAGGTAAACTTCCTTCATTGCCTGGCCTAAACGTAAATATTATCATTGTCAATTCAAACTTACTTTCTGAGGTAGGGCTTGGAATACTAGCTATACTACAATTACTGGCTTTAAATATTTTATCCGTTAAAAAATCTCTAGTAAAAGATTTATTGGCATTATCATTGTTTTTAGGTTCATCACAAGTACATAGTTTCAAAATTCTCTCGCAAATATTATAGACAATTTTTGGAAGATACTTGAAGTTCCTTTCTTCATAGCCATGCAAAACAACTTTTTGTCTTCTAAGATACCTGTGTAATGTAAATTCGTTCATGTATTTGTCTTTTGCCACATTATCCCTAAAAAAGCTTGACTTCAAAAAAAAATATATCATTCAAGTGTAAAATACCTACCTTAAAAAATACGTTATAGTTTGTGGAAGTATAAATTGTGCAAAATGCCGCACACATAAAATCTGCCCGCGAGTTTGGACAGAGCCCGGGCGTTTCAGCCTCACGAATCGTATCGCTTCATTTGCAGTTACCCTTAGAGAATATACTAAAAAGCAAGCAATAAGGACTCCTGTTCGCCCCAAGCCTAGAAAACATTTTCAATAAACGCAATGTCTCTTAACTTGCTTGTTTTCCTTAATTACCTGCGTGACAATGAATTGCCACCCTTCCTTCGCTCAAGGCAAAAGCAACAACTTTTACCATATTCAGCAGCCCTTCCAAAGTTGCATCGCCATAGTCTTTCCAAGCAAAATTGTAATAATAAACTGAAAATAAAAGTAGGTACTTAACTTAAATATAGAGCGTTTGGCAATATTGTATAATATAAATAATATATTTTGTGAAGTGTTTTTTTTAAGGTCACGCAATAGCATTTATATGTCTGGAATTGTTTATTTACCAAAGGGTAAAGCAGCAACGTGGTGTCGTTATCAAGGCAAAGATCTTATTCTGGCAAACCCCATTTTAACAAAAACATTTAGGGGTCTCTTGAATATTCTACCTTACATAACGCATGTGAGTATGTTTGGATCAGATTTTTGACCAGACAGAAATAACCATCAGGGTAAAATACGATTTTTTTATCAATCTGGCTGGCTCAACTTTCTGTCTCCACCAGATCTAAAATATTTATGCTAATTTAATATTTTCATTCAACTACGCATAAGTATCTAAACACAGCATAACACGATACAACATTTTTCATACAATCATCATCATCATAGGCATTCGCTCGCTAACGAATATTAAAGAATCTTGGCAGCATCATTATCGGTAGGTTCTATGATGGATAAATAAGCCTAATCGAGACACACAATGTCTCCCACATTGATTGCATATCCAATCAGCGGTAGCCGGTCGCTGTTGTAAACCAACTCTTATCAGACGTTCTTGTTCTTTCCTAGGATTTCGTCTGTCATCTGCATCCTTTCGCCTTCGCCGTTAAAATACTCTGAGCCTGGGCCTTGATGGATACTTCATCGCCATACGAGTCTATTCAGTGCCACAGCCTCCGCCTCCCATAGTCAACCACGTCGATTTCCTCTTTGCCTTGAGGACATCTTTGTATAGTTTACGGGGGCGTTAATGACATTTGAAATCTGTCAGTGTTGTGCTTTGTTTTTTAAAAATTCGTCTGCAAAGAGAAAAAAAAAATCACATCAGAGTTGGCTCAAATTTGGCATAAACATTCTTTGATCGATTTTATGTTCAATCCGGATATTTCACTTTTTCGATATTTTGCGAGTTATTCCATTTATAACGACTCAAACCCTGAAAAATAGGCAACCAGATATACAATGTTCATTTTGAGAATACCGCAAAATATCGAAAAACTTAAATATTCGGATTGTAGATCATCGATCAAAGAATGTTTATGCCAAATTTGAGCCAATTCTGATGTTTTTTTCTTTCCCTTTGCAGACGAATTTGAAAAAATCAACACAGAACTGACATATTTCAATGCCATTAACGTCCCCTTAAATTGCCCTCCTTTACTGCGTTAGCAATTTTTTAGTTATGATTGCCTACATAATTTAACCTATATAGGAAGAAGTGAGTCTGGCATGCAGACGAAATGACCAGTTCAATCGTCTGTCAATGTTTGCATTTCTGGAGAGATGACTAACGAGTTATGGGAAGTATTTTATATTTTCAAGAAGTGCTCCATTGATAGTTACAGCTGGATCTGGTGCATTAGTATTTCGGGCAAGCCTGGTTAGATTGAATAGCTTACCATCAAAAGTAGCAGGTGCACTTCTAAATCGGAAAGGCATGATGTTAAATTGATAATTGATATAAGTATGCCGTTTCGAACCATAAAAGTGATTTTTTTAAATTGATTTTCACGTAGCAATATCCCGTTCTCAATGAAAATCAATTTGATTCTGATGGCGTTTTAAAGGTATCGTCAATCCGGGGTGATGGTTCGCTCTCTTTCTTCGCATCGTCATTCAGCCTTCTAGAATCCACACAGAACCTGAACCTCGTGGAACTATGCTTTCCGTTAGGTAATTAGTACGAGCAGCGATAGACGAGAATCTCTCGTCTTGGGCAGCATTACTATTCATCTTTACTTGGACAACTATTTAAGCTGGATGTCGCTTACACCATTTGAGGATGAATTATATAATATTGTTACCTATTACCTATGTCTTTTGATTAAGTTAAAAAAATTTAATTTGACTAATGCCCGGTTTATTCATCTTCAGATAAACTTGCTGATAACTATCTGCAAGATTAATTTACCGTTCTATAATTTTATTGGTCAGCGGATAACTGGCCGACCAATTGAATTACAGACTGCATTTTTATCGGTCAGATTGCATACCTGACAGTTTATCAGAAGGTGAATAAACCAGCCATAAGTAAATCAATTATTTTATCAGTGAAATGGTAGGGGTTTTTTTTTTAAGTAACTAGGGTAGGTTGTTATTTGTTATTGAATCCGAGATTACTATATTTTGATTATCTAAATCCACTATGTTGGCCTTTAATATGTGCTGTGATTTTAAATTGCTAAACCCAGTTTCGATGAAATGCGAAATCTTAGCCCTCTCAGGCTCAAGATAACAGAAAAAGCCCCTACCTGTCTTTCGTACTGTAAGCCCGGTGACCAGAATTTTCGAGTGGAAGCTAATGCTGATGGAATAATCTAGCCAATTACGGAACGATCGGGCATTGATGTATGTTTATCGTAAATTTCTAGAAGAAAATTGTCAAAAAAATTATAGCAGGATCGAAGCTCTATAAGCAGAGATAGTTGTGAATTGAACGACTCGTGAATTAGTAAATTGATCCAGTTAAATATAGTTTTGAGAAAAGTTTGATTTGAGTCAAAGTGTGTTGTAGTAGCACTGGTTTTGTCGTAATTTTTGGTAATTTTATTAACTAAAGAGTCGTCCTTCTCATCTGCCAACTTACATACCAATATGAATAGTTTCTAGAAAAAATGAAGGTACCTAGTTGTAACCTATGTTTTGGATGTTCTATCATAAGTCATAAGTATACCTACCTAATACCTGTTATTTAATTATAATTATGACTAAATGAAAAGATAAAATAGAAATATAATTGGAGGATACAAATCAAATCTGAAAAGGGTTTTTTAGAATCAATTCCCTAATTGAATAGGTAATTACCTACCTTTATACCAAAAATCTTTTAATAATTAATGGAGCATAAGCTTTATTTTTAGAACAATTTCGGTTTTAATAAAATATCCATTTTTCTGTTAATTACAACAAAATCGATTTTGAAGTGTATTCGGGATTAAATAATTTCAGGAATAAGTATGCCACATGAAACAATTTTATGTTCTAAAATACTGTGTCTGGCTAAAATATATTTTACAATATATTTCTTTATTTTCAAACGTCATATAACAGTTATTTTTGTGATCATTTTGACATGGTATAAGAGTCACTTCAATGACTTTCAGCTTGAGCGGCGTATAAGTGTTATACTCCGCCGGAGTATAACATTTATACGCCATTACACATGTTTTTCCATAGCGATTTAAGGTAGATCACCTGTACGTACAGGTATACTTAGGTGCTTATAAAGGTGATCCTTCTAAATATGAATTGCAGCGTGTAATGTATTAAACTTTCCATTCTTCCCCTTCAAAAATCGTGAATAAGCATGCGAAAATGAAATCATAATTTAAATTTAAAATTCTGCACTTATTCGGAATAAAGATTGTTTGAAAATAAAATATTGTATTTCATTCGGAGTATAAGTATTCTTCATGTGACTTGCATGGATTTGATCAACTTTTATGCGCGTCACATAAGTATTACTTGAACTCCTAATAAAATAAATATCTATTATCAATGAAAAAAATAAATAAATAATGGAATATTTTTATTTCTCTATACTGATTTAGAAATTTTGATTTTAGCCATTTTTTTCTGGATGGATAATGTAGAATCCAGACAACTGACTATTAAATAATTTTAAATGCAAATACCTACTATCCTTAATAAATATCTAATACTAGTGATCTGTAAACGAAATATTAACTGAACTAACCTAATTAGTCCCGTTTCCGACGTGAACATGGCGATTCTGGCGATCGGATTAATGTCTCCTGGCTCTACCAGAAACCAACTTTTGATTCTTGGCCTAATGACATTCTCTATTTATTGAGAAAAAGTTCTCAACTTTCCATTACATTCTGAAAATGGCTGGTTTTTGAAGATTGAGCTAAACATGAAGATAGTAGCCCATCATCAGTAAGCGAAACTTATTCAAATGCGCCAGAACCGTGATGTCTATTTATACCACCTCTGTACTTGTCGGCTTCAATGCCATCTGTTATTTTCCTAATCAGGAAGATTTATAAACATCTTTCTGGCTCTATAAAGACATGAACCACTTCTAATAAGAGTTTCATGAGGTCTGTTCCAACGCGTCAAAAAACCGCCCATGAACTTTCGAAGCCACTCCAGTATACGAATTTCGGATTCTATGCACAAATTTTATGTTTTTCGCAGAATTGGGACGGTACATTGTACGGTTTCCTGCTATATTGGAACAAAGCTATAAGCATTGTAAAATGTAAAATGTAAACCGTATGCTTTCAAAAAAGGCTCGGTGCGGGTTGACAGATTACTTCAATGACGAGTTTTCAGTAATTTTTCTATTGATTTTATTTCGAGTTAATTTAGTTTTTTTAAAATAAGTACCTATTTATAATTTTTTTATTTTTCTTGATTTTTTAGAAATGTTATAGGGGTGTATATTTTATATTTTCTGAAAAAATCTTGGCAGTAGGCTCTATTCTTCAATTTTAGAGAATATCGAATAGCTTTTTTTTTCTATTATTTGAAGATACTCTCAAACTGAGTCGCACAGCACGTACCCTAGAATCGGAAGGCATATCAAAGATATGATTCGAGAAGGGCAAAGGAGACTGATCTAGGAATTGACAATGACAAGTTAAGTTTCTTGGAAACTGATCTTATCGCAAAACAAGCGGAACTTAATTTTTTGGATAAAGAATCGATGTGCGAGCTCCATATCAGGGAGTTGTCTATGGCAAGGCTCAAAAATCTTACAGTATCAACGACACAGAAGTTTTTGCAGCGTTGAAGCAGAGAACGTTAGAGTCGCACCACGATTTATTGGCTGGATTAAATAATAAATTGTAAGGTAAAGAATAGTGAATTTATATTTCTTCAAATTTTATAATAATAAAAAACTGAACTTACTATCGTGTTCCATAAAAGCGTTGGGATCATAAGAAAATCCAGAATTTTCTAATGGTTGTCCACAGCTCGAGTGTTCGTTACTGCATTGCAAGTTTATGACTGACTTAATTCCCAAGCTGAAAAATATTAATATGATTTATGTGACAAGAAGCGGACTGGTTTTATAGGCGTTTATGCCACTCATTATATATCTGCTTTCAACTTCCTCAAGTATCAATTAACAACGAATTTGAAAAATAACGTTTTTGGAATAAAATGCACCTAATAAAAATTTTTAGAGAGAAATTATATATTTTTGAATTCTAGGCTAATAAAACTAGGTGGGCAACCCCAAAAAAATTCACTACAAGCTGATTTTTGCGCCATTGTGTACCTTTTAGTGTTTTCTATAATGGGTTAAAAATCCCAAAAAATCCGATAGGGGGCGCAACCCCAAAACCACCGCCAAAGGTACATTTTTTAGGTTTGTTGGAATTTTCTCAAAAACGATAAGTTTAAACAAAAAAGTACAGTGCACGTTTTTTGTAGAAGACAAAATTTCGAATCAAACGGTATACCCATTTCTATTATTTAAAGATGTTTTAATGTTGATAAAGACAACTTAATAGCTTTTTATTTTTGTAACAAACACCAATAAAATATTTCATTTTTGTAATGAATCATTTGTTATTTGGTCAACTTTGAGAAAAAATACGTATAAACTATGTAATAAATTATTTATACATCTCAAATAACAGCGGACTAACATGTTAAAAACAATATAACCGTCGCGGGGGAGGGGAGAGTAATAAGTAATATTGATAAAGCATTGTCTAAAAACCTTCTGATGCTTAAAAGTGATAAGTCGGATTTAAATACCTTAATAAAATGGTACGGGGGTCACAACAGTCAAAATTTGAACGAGTATCGTTATTTTGAATATAACCAAATAACTGCCCGTCAAAACTAATTTCAAAATTTTGAACTTGCAACTTTCCACCTACATCTTATGCTGCAGAGCCCCACATGAAGAGAGTTTATCTTCAGGTACAGTTGTGGTTATTGCCTAGGACAATCCTGTTTAAATGTGATAGATGTGTGTTTGTCTCAAGAAGACGAATGTTAATTTTTTTTATTAGGATTTTTTGTACAATAACGTTTTACTTTGTAGTTTTTGTTATTAGGTGCATTTATAGCTTTTTTCTTTGTATTTAATATTTTTTAGAATATGTAAATTATTTTAATATGTATGTACAGGGTGGTCCAAATTGGACACTTTCTTATGGGAACACCCTTTATTTAGGAAAATAGGAAAAAATGGAAACCCCCACTTCAAGGATCAAATCTCATGAAATCTTGATTCGTGCAAACCGCATTCTGATATCTTCAACCGTTTACCCGCTAGAGGGCGATTCTCGATTTTGAGCAATACTGTGAAACCTTCATAACTGTTTTGTTTATGAAGATAATGGATTTCCGTCAGGACTTTCTAGAAGCACTTTTTTAAGAAGAATTCAGTGACGTTCTCTGTTTTTTTCCTTTCTGGCTCCGATTTCGAGATATTGAACAAAATCCGATTTTTTTTAATAGGACACTCTATATATTATTAGCTTATTGGAAAGATCTGCTTTTGTTGATTTCAATGATATAAAGTTCGATAGGTTTATCCCTAACAGTTTTAGAGAAAAAAAATATTTCGGTTTTTGTCATAAGAAATAATGTGTAAGAAAGAGAACTTTTTCATTTTCCTTACAGTCCTTCTCCAACACATTGTTTCTTATGACAAAAACAGAATTTTTTTTTTCTCGAAATCAGCGAAAGCAGAGGTTTCTAATGAGCTATTAATATATGGAAAAAATCAGATTTTTGTCAATATCTCGAAATCGAAGCCAAACAGAAAAAAACTGAGAACGATACTTCCGCTTAAAAAATTGCTTCTAGAAAGTCTTTACGGAAATGAATTATTTTCATTTCATTAGAGTATAAAACAACTTTCTAATTAATTTTTTTTTCTTGCATCACCCTGTAAAAAGATTTCGTCCGATATCGCACTAAGTGGACACCCTGTATAATATGTTAATGTTTCTTCCAATTGTTTTGGAAATATCTGGAGTTTACTTATTCAAAGATTTATTCAGGAATCAGAATCTTTTGTGACAGGTAAATCAAGGTGAAATATATTAAAAAAACTACTGTCACCTATTATATATATTTTGAATCAGAAAAACGAGAACTTCAAGAATTTGAAAGAAAATAAAGGGCATTCCATTTAAAAAAAGCGAACAGCGACATATTTTTTTTTTACTTTGCGTTGCTCATTTATTCAATCTTATTAAAAATTCTGGCGGTTCAGATAAAATGCTACAGCTTTTGTATTTACACCTTTTACCTATCACCTGTAATTACGGCTGCAGGCAGGGGCGTCGCGTCGGGGGGGGGGTAATGGGGGTAATTACCCCCCCCAGAATCCAAAATTCAAGGGAAAAATCACGATGTCCAAAAGAAAATACATAATAATATTAAAGAATATACATTTTTTTTTTTTTTTTTTTTCCTCAGAAAGGAAATTATTGTTCTGGAAAAGTGAATGACCTTGAAATTGACAAAAAATTTCGCCAGCGGCGCGTTGGAGGGGGGTCGCATCTTCCCATTACCCCCCCTAGACTGCAAGTCACGCGTCGCCACTGGCTGCAGGTGGGTGTCAAAATATAGTGACTCACCCTGTACAGCTTATAACGACGTAGCTATAGCTTTTACATGGGGGGGGGGGGTTTGAGCAGCGGAGGGCCGTGGTCTATGCTGGAAGGGGTTTCAATTTTAGACCAGAAGATGTATATAGGTAACCTGCGTAGCATACTCCAGGATATCGCGAAAGGCGAAAATTTTTTTTGGGTGCCACGCCCAAAAACGTTTATTTTTCTTCGAAAAAATAATTAATTCAGTTCAATGGGGGGGGGGGGGGGGGGTTCGAACCCCCAAACCCCCCCCCCTCTTATATACGTCCTTGAATGGTTCGTACACGTAATTTGATTGTGTGAGTGTTTGAAACATTTTAGCACTAACTTAACCCTCTAGGGAGCGTGGGACCAACCCTCACCATTCCAAATGGAACAGGAGGTCGAGTGATACCTGTTTTGAAAGAGCGTTCAATTTTGATTCAAATGACATCAAATGAAAGAGAATTAACCGCTCTTTTAAAAGAGGTATCACTCGACTCCTTGTTCCATTTGAAATAGTAAGGGTTGGTGCCACCTAGGGGGTTAAAGTTTAAGTGCTAAAAATGGTTGTAGAAAACTTCCCCCTTTGAAAATCAAATAACATGTACGATTTAAAAAAAAAATAAACGTGGCATCAGATATTTAGCCTGTTTCGTTTTAAATGGTACACCTTATACTCTTTTAAATTTTAGGCTTATTTAAATAATAAAGTATGTTATACTAAAAAATTGAAAATTTTGTGCTCTACAAAAAAGGTTTCTTGCACATTTTTCGAAAAACTTGTTGTTTTTGAGAAAATTGCAAAAAACTTAAAAAATGTACTTTCGGGGGTGATTTAGGGGCTGCGCCCCATATTGGATTTTTTGGGATTTTTAGCCAGTTATATAAAACCTCAAGAAAAACACAATGGCGCAAAAATTAGCTTGTAGCGAATTTGTTTGAGTTTCAGCTCAAAATTAGCCTAGTTTTACTAGCCTAATTAGAATACCTACCCAAAAGAAATAAGAAAGTATAGGTAGGGTATATTTGAGTCGTAGCTTATTAGTAATGTTCCAAATTTCCGCCATGCAGATTTTGTCAAGCGGTCTGAGCAAATAAACTGTAGACGCATGGAAATTCCATTTAATATCGTCATATTTGCTCTGAAGGCTAGAATAACGTTCATAGTTAGAAATATTGGCTCTGAGCAAGTTCAGGAACAATCCATCAGGTTTATTTAGGTTGAAAGGAAAATCTTAAGAGGCACGGACACCAAGGTATTTAGTTTCTGATACAGAAATAGGTAATTATTTATGTAAAAAACAAAGGTGAAGTTGACCTTTTTTGTTTGAGCAGCTCCAGTTACAACTTCCAGGAAGTGGTTTGAGTGCCAGGAATGCAAAAAAGACTCGCCGAACTGTTCGATTTGCGAACTTTAAATATTTACAAGTAGTGGAGAATGCGGTCATTTTGCTAGTTTTTCAATACTTGTGAGTGTATGACAAATTCCTAGAATAGCTATGCTGACAGACCGAATAATCAATGGACTTCATCACAAGGAAACATCACTTGGTCTATAAATGCTATATACAGGGCATTGTTTTGCTCTTCCGATATTTCTTGCATTTTTGTCTGGTACAGCAGATGAATCTATCGTTCCTTGGTTAGGTTTAAAGCCACACTGTGTTTCGGGTAGCATTGCTTCGGCCAGAGAAAGAAGTCGGTCAGAGCGAATCCTTGCAAGATTTTTTCCGGCTGTAGAGAGCAGTCATATCTCTCGGTAATTTCTATACACTGTGCCTTGTCGACTTTTTTGACGACATTAGACGTGTTTCACAAATCTGGAATCGTCGCGGTGTTCCATATTTCGGAAATTACCTTAGGTGTATGTTCGTCCAGCGCACTGCCGCTTGATAGCTTTTTCAGCCTCTCGATGAGAAAGAAGTCATCATCCATATGAAAATTTTTGTTCAGGGGCTCCTAAAAATGTTCTTTCCAACAAGATAACATAGAAGTAGGATCTTTAATTAGCTGAGTGCCATGTCTAGATCTTAGAGGATTCGAACCTTCTGTAGAGGAGCTATAGGTTGCTTTAGTAGCGCCGAAGGCTCTGGTATTGAGACTGGTTAAAGTTCGGTTGACCTCGTTGTCATCCACTCATTTTTCAGCATTATTGTTTGTCTTTGTACTTCAGCTTTTAGTTGAAGCATGGATGTGTCATTGCGCCAAGTTATACGTCTCTATATTTGTAGTCCATCTTGTCCAAGAAAACCTGCCTTTATGCGTGGACATGTCCTACAGAACCGATAGTAAGATATTTAAACTTAGCAGACTTCGAGTCAAAACCAAGGTATCCATAACAGCTGTTTGTGAGCTTCAATTTGCTAATGATAACTTTTTCTTGGCGAACACCCAAAAAGATCACTTCATCATCATCATCC